ATGATTAAAAAATTATTACTGGAGTCAAAACTTCTTGAACTTGAATCTACTGTTAAATATTGCAAAAACGAAGTAATGTTTTATAATAATTAGACTAAAGTGGATCAACATTGAATTTAAATGATAAAATATTCATATGCCATAATTAAAAAACCCCAGGAATTTTTCGGGAATGATCTGTCCCGTCTCTCACCATCATTGTAAGCCTAGCTGAACATACGATGAGTATGATTTAAAAGGCTTTCTTATAACTTAAAATGCTTATAGTGCTTACAGCGCTGCGAAAGAGGCAAAAAAAATTAATTAATTAATTAAATAAAATACAGGTACTGTAATAATAATAATAATAATAATAATTAGTAGTTCGTTTCGTGTTCTTGTGGCGCCATCTATTGAACATCGAAATAGACATCATCTGAAAATACTGGATAATGTTAGTTATCAATATTTTAGATATTTTTTGCATACTTTTTGGTTAAGAAAAAATTTTCTATAAATTCTATTTATATCCAAGAATTATTTGAAAGGCAAAAATATGTTAAACTGAATAATTATTACATTTAATTTTTAAATATTAACTGAATAAGCTGCTGTTTTGAATTAGAAAATTATTTTTATTATCTTTTTAAATTCAAAAACAAAAGAATAAGCAGTTTTATTGATTAAAATTAAAAATTCTAAAGAGCTTAACGCATTATTATTGTGGCAGCTGGGATGGGAGAATCGGCATTTTCAATTTGCAATTACTGTTCGTTCTCGTTCTATTTCCGGAACACTGATTATAGATACAGAAAACGTGATTATTGATATCAATCAAAATTGGGATTATTATTTTTTTTTACAAACTAGAAAATCATATAATTTTTGGGCTGTGGTTTCGACACAAAAAAGCAAAATACGTACTACATTACAAAATCAATGCAAATAACACTACAAAAATTTAAATTAAATTGCCCAAAGTCTTTATTTTGAACTAGAATAACATTAAATAACAAGACATGCAAGCGAAGACCACAATTTTAAGTTTTCTTATTAACTTCTCAGATACGTCGAGGATATACATTTTTAATGCCCAACGGAGGAGCTTTGAACGGATCAATGTCCAACGTCTAAACAGGAATTCCGTAAGATGAATGAGTTCCATATTTGTTCAGCGCCTTTGTTTCTGTACTTAACCAGTGTACATAGTATAATTGTTGTTATTATATACAGTGGCGTACCTTGGATGTCAGCCGCCCGGGGCGGAGGAAAATTTCGCCCCCCTTTATATAGGTATTTCAATTTAAAAGACCAAAATTCAGTTTTGTCACAGAACAAGCAATGAAAAATTCGGTGGTAGTGCAGCGACCTGTTTAAAATAGTTCTATCGTACAACAAAAAAANTCAATTTAAAAGACCAAAATTCAGTTTTGTCACAGAACAAGCAATGAAAAATTCGGTGGTAGTGCAGCGACCTGTTTAAAATAGTTCTATCGTACAACAAAAAAAAATAAATAAATAAAGGTCTACAGAACGATAGCACTATCGTAGGCGCGATGCAAGTATAGATTAGGATGTTTCAAATTTTTACAAGATATTATTACTATTTATTATGAAATTTGCCGCCCCCTAAAAAGTGCCGCCCGGGGCCGGCCGCCCCTGCCGCCCCACTACGGTACGCCACTGACAAAAGTACATCTGTGTTCGTAGATATTAACCCCTTGCCGCCCACTGATTAATTAATTTAATGTAATTAAGCATAAAAAATACTTAAAACTGAAAAAAAAACGAAAGAAATGCGTTAATTTTGAAGAAAAAGCTTCAAAGTTTAACTTCCTTTGTCTCGCCTTTCTGTGAAATTTGACACTGATGAGTCATTGTTTACACCAATGTTGCCACGCCGATTTGCTTTTCATCAGGGCTGCGTTTCTTTATGCAGCGAGAGTGCAGCGTAAATGACGTCACGAGCAGCTGTCGCTGCATCATAGTTTAGAAACGCTTTCCGCTCGAGCGAAACACGGACGTCAGAATCTATCCTTTAATTCCAGTTATAGCCGAAAATAGTGCTTTAGTTAAAGAACTACAATATTTAAATAAAGAGATATAAAGAATCGAGCATTTATCTTTCCATAAATGTGAACAAAGTAAAGAGATAAAAGATATATAATTATATTTAAAATATAGTATTTTCTTATTCTTTAGATAACTTTCAGAGTCATTTCATAAAATTTAATCCTTCTTAATCTTTCCATAATATTTTTATCAACAGTCACTTCNCAATGTTGCCACGCCGATTTGCTTGCCATCGGTAGATTCATTAGGCAATTTTCGGTAGATTTCGGTAATTTTTCGGTAAATCGACTTTTTGTGGCAGAAAGGAGGTTGCACATAAACAATAACATTCTTTTTCGTCATTTATTTTATTATACACTATAAAACAATAAAAAACAAAAAACTAACACAGAACACTTACGTAAAAAAATAATAATTTACTAATTAAGTAGGTACATTTTGTCTTATTTTTCTAACAAAATACAGTATTACCTTTTATTTTTCGGATATTAATAATAATTATTATTATTCAATATCTTCCGTTTGTGTGTTTTTAACACTGTTTCTTATTTTTGAAATTAAATTATCTTTTACAGGAAAATCGTAACAGTAATTTTTATCCAATTAATTGTAAGAAGTAAACCAGTGATCGTTTCAGAGCTCACAAGTCAGTTTATTTCCGTGTTTCGTGTTTAACAGATTTATTTACGAAAATATTCTTTCTATTCCATTAGCTGAAGAATGGGGCAGACACAAGATATTCTCAACAAAATGAGACAGAATCTTTGCAATAAAGTCTCTTACAATATATAAGAAATGAAAGTACAAAGAAATGTTTTATTGAGAATTTTTAGATACATTGAAAATAAAATTTTTTTTCTTGAATTATCGCAAACTTTTCGGTAGATTTGGTGCTTCAATCGGTAGATCGGTAGATAGGTCCCAAAATCGGTAGATCTACCGAAAATTCGGTAGACGTGGCAACATTGGTTTACACAGCTGGATGACCTTGAGAACATCTGGTATCGGATTTTCCAGGACATTCTCATAGACGTCCCTGGAGGACAAGGGTTTAAAGTAGGGTGAATACTAGCTGGCGGTATGTTTTTAAATATTTTTAAGAACCTAACGCTCTACCGACTGAGCTAACCGGGCACTTTCATTCTAACGATTTTCGTTTTCTACCAGCGCAATATTCTATCTCTGTGTCAGTAGAATGCTGTCACCATCTTCCGATTTTCGAATCGAATTTCAGAGAAATTATCCACAGCGAGATTCGCCGTGTTGTCGAAATGCGATAAAAAGATTCGTCGTCGACAGAAAACTTGAATGTAATATCAATGCATTAATTTGCTTTTTGCTTTGCCTACATGCAATATCCAATTCAGTGTTATTGCAAAATATGCATTTGCAAGTATCCAATCAAACACGTCTTCTTCGCATATCCAGTTAAGACCAGCGTTCGTAAGTCTGTAAAATGCCATTCAATACTAGCAACGATCGGCAAAACGAAGGGAAAAAAAAGCCAACCGCCCGAACAGGGACTCGAACCCTGGACCGTTAGGTTAAAAGCCTAACGCTCTACCGACTGAGCTATCCGGGCCTTGTCTGCTAATTCTGCTCCTGGTCTGATAACACAACAGAGCATCATTTTCCACAAGAATCTCTCGCGTTAATAAATGTTTTAGCCTGCAAATTACCGACATCTGTCTTAAAAACATACCTTTCGCAATTGTTTCGAACGTCATGACGTTCGAAATTTAAGACAGATGT